GAAAATTTAAGGAGTTATTATTATGTACGTTTAGATGATACAACCGGTAGGATACTTTTGCACGTTACTGTATATCCTACCTGTTATCATTCTCATTCATCACTGCTTCCCACGATTCTTACTTTTGAGTACTCTAGTACTAGGGTTTTTACCTTAACGGCTAGTCGAATAGTATTGCTTTTAATTTCTCTAAATAGTAGTAATATACGACCAACGAGCGAAAAGAAGAGACTATTTGCACCCTCGTGACACACCACGTATTTAGTTTTTTCGGCCCTAAATTTAGATATGACTTTATTTTATATAATAAGACAATGACGTAATAGTAAAAATTATTCATTTATCATATGATCGAGGGGTGTGTACCTATAAACGTGCAACCTGTCAGTTTTCTTTTTAATCAACGTGTGACGATGAATATTACCAACATCTGTTGAAAATTGTAAAAACCCTTCTTTGGAAGAAAATAACTCTAATGTTGTGGACCTAACTAAAAAGTATCAGATACAAGGTATTGAGAGTACCGCTTTTTTCCAAGTATTATTAAATATTGAAGTCATTAAATTTAATTTTCAGAGGATGATTTGTACTCACCTGACGAAGATGATGGTGACTCTGAAGAATCTAAAAAAATTAACTATTAAGCACAGCATCCGTATTGTATCTTATTGATTCTGATTCAACATGTTTTGGAGAAATTTTACTAATTGCTTGCGTCTCATTCTAACATTAAGTTTCTCTTAAGAGATTTTATGAATACACTCTCAAATTTCCTGACCCCAAGTATATGTTCAACCTCAAAGAAAAAGGGCTCACTACTCCTGAAAAATTCGTTGCATGGTGGAATGGGAACAATCCAGATTTTCAGATCACAGTTGATGCGAAGATGAGGACCCCTCCCGCTATAATTGTCATTGGGGAGAGTATGGAGATTAGGTATAGCGTAACATATACCAGAGTTCAAGCTTTTTTTAATGAAGCAATATGAATGACGATCATGTGTTCGGTTAAAATACGAAAGATTAATCAGCCATTGTAAAAAATGATTTTGTTAAGCATCATTACTGATATACTGGTTGAAAGTTCCGATGGAGATTATTTTCATCAAGCGAAATATCTAGTAGTCGACCGTGTTGATAGCCGAGACGAAGAGTCAGATCAGTAATGCCTTTCGCTTCTTTCCTGAGAAGAATGACATACGCTTGTTTTTCAGATGGCACTCTTTCATTGAAACATTCTATTTAGAAAATATTAGTTACTAGACAGTATACTGCGGAGTCTTGTAAATGCATAACTAAATTACAAGCCTTTAAGCCGGATTATTTGAACATTGTTTGCAATGCCTATTCGCCTCCCAATTACACGTAATCCAGCTCCTGATGCTCTCATATATCGATTGTTAGTGATTTTGTTTTTAATCATTTTCCATCTTGAAATTGGTTTGAAAACAATTAACCCATCATCATATTCACTGAGGAAATGACCGGTTTCCGAAGCTTGTTTCAATTCTTTCTCCAGAACTTTAATATCACGACCATAGGCCTCGATTTTCTTACACAGTTGACCGTAGTAGTATTCACTTATCCTAACCTCGCAGGTTCCTATAAAAAATAAATAACGTGAATTTTTAAAGAATCATTCGTTTAGGAAATATACAATAACGTTGATACTGTACTTCCTCTAAAAACTCGCATCTGCAAATTTTCCTGTATAAAGATCCAGCCACGCCATATGCTATACCCAAATATTAATATGGCCCAATTAACATTGAAGGCACTACAAGTATCCAGAAAAAAACACCCCCAATCACCAAAAGGACCAAGGCAATAGGATAAACGAACACGTGGCCAAAGTGATAATAATCAAATTCCACATAGTTTTGGTTTTTTTATCAAGAAATTTCACGAAACAAATGTAATTAATTAAACTGTTGGTTCACGGTTGATTAAAACTAACTGATAATAAACGTCACGTAAATAGTGACTGATCTAGACGCAGAGATAATTTTGTAATTCATCAATTAGAATTCCGCTCAGGAGTCATCCGTCAGATACCGTTAAGTGGTTATCCCGGCCCAAGTTGGCTTTATTTGTATATACTAAACTCACTACGTATCGTTATTGTTTACATGCATCTTGTTACTACGTCACTGATCTAATATATTCGCTACCCCTTCCCCCCTTCCATCTCTAGTCGTGAAAGCCCAATATCAAGTTCAATTTACTTTGCAGTCTTAATTTGCTATTAATCTATATTAATAAGTTTGTTGAGGAATATAAACAAAGCCTGTATGAAAAATTCTAAATTTAAAATGGTGAATGTTTATTTAATATTTTTTCAATAACATAATCAATTTCAATAAGCGATTTCCATTGAGACGAACACAACGAGTCAAATAGTCTATGTTGCTTGGTAGCTCTTGGTGACTTTGAAGGTGGAGAACTTTGTTTCCCTCAACTCGAGATTGTGGTAGCACTTCGACCTGGGCAAGTTGTCGTATTTTCCTCACGTCTATTATTGCATGGTTACCTACCCGTCATAAAAGGGATCCGTCATAGCATCGTTTATTTTGTTCATAGCTTATTTTTCCATAATATGCGTAACTTTTCTTCTATTTGCGATGATCTGAAAATGGGAATTGAGAGGGGTTCGCGTGGATCAGTTCGATTCCCGGGCAAGACCTAAACGACGCACAAAATCTAAATAACTTCGACAAGCCGAAAGCCAATCAAGTTCGAATCCCACCGGCGTCCACTGATTGTAGAAGAGAGCATATAGGTAAGACTTTATCGCGGTGTTAGCCTTGCAATAACAAGAGGCAGAAAAATGCCTCGCATATCTGAAGTCGCGCTCTATTCATCAAGTTGACTAATTGGCATATCCCAGCTGACACGTACTCTATGTGGATGCTCAGGAGGTACACTTAAATCGAAAACAATAAATTTCTGTTCACATAAATGCTTATTAACAATTTTATATACATTGCCCAGTCGTTAACATATAAACGAAGTATTCTGCTTAACTCATCTGAGGTACAAGAGCCGTTAAAAAGTACAACGTATTTTAAGTTTTTTCTTATTAGTTTCGGGCAGTCAAAATAGCTTTGTGAAACATATATCGAAGAAACATTGGAATGGCGGGCGCCCCTCAGTAAAATAGGGTATAATCTTTTCTTGAATTTTCTTTGGATCAGCACATAGATCCTCGAATATAACTACGGTACCTCTTTCTGGAGAGAATGAATCCAGTTTTGGAATTTTATCAGGCTTCATAGCCCGGAATGTAATATCTTCACGATGTGGCTCTGGACTATTAGCAATTATTTGATATACTGATTTAAGATACATATATTTGGGTTCCTTGAGATGGTGTCCAATAAGTACGACATCATCACATTTAATATATCTAACATCCCTTTTTTTACCATTAAACATTCTATATAGTTTATTCCCAGACAAAAGACGAACAACTTCAGTAGATTTTCCTGTATTAGTCCGACCTGAAATTAAGCATGTGAAGGGCCATTGAGGAGTCGAATTCTTACTATCATATTTCTCTGGATTCTTATATTCGTCTATATTTAGAACAAGCTTCTCGAATGGATCGAGCCTTTCTATTTTCATTTTAATCGAGATAAGTCACTAATTATTATATCGAAAAAAATATTGATCCTTATTGTTATATATGTATGTACCCGATTTTTATTCTATGTAATAGCCAGTCTAATAAATGCGACATAGTAAATCACTTAAGGCTCTCTAATATCAATGCGTGGATTGCTAGTCATAAGGGCATCGATTGCCTCATCAGTTGTACATAACAATTAATTATCGTAATTGCCACTCGAATAATCGCGGGACAAGAGGCGATTATTCTTCATCGATATAGGG